TACAATTACCTGCTAGGATGAGATCGTCAACATATACCAGGATTGCTGTAAAGGATTTTTCTGTGACTTTAGTGAATAAGCTATAATCTGCCTTTGATTGGATAAAACCACGTTGAATGATGAAGACAGATAACTTGGCATACCACTTCCTTGAAGCTTACTTTAGGACGTATAAACTCCTGTACAATTTGCAAACGTTTGATCTCTAGTTAGTTCCATATCCAGGACGCAACTACATATACACATTCTCACTTAAATCACCATGTAAAAATGTATTATTGATGTCCAATTGGTATAAGAAGTACCTTTTTATGTCTGCAACAGCTAGTAAACTTCGAATGGTCACCATCTTAGTCACAGGAGAAAAGGTCTCACGATAATCCAAGCCTTCTTGCTGTGTGTACCCCTTTGCAACTAACCTAGCTTTGTACCTTTCGATACTCCCATCAGCTTTAAACTTGATTTTATACACCCATTCGCATCCTATTACTTCCTTATCAGGTGGTAGATCAACAAGTGTCCATGTATTATTTGACTCAAGAGCTTTAATTTTTACCTACATAGCTTTATACCATTCAGGGTGTTTGATGGCTTCTTGGAAATGCTTTGGTTCGACTTGAGATGTTATAGAACCAATACAAGCTTTATGAGGAGTGGTTAGTCTTTTATAAGAGATATTATTAGCAAGACGGTAAGTATTACCTAAAGTTACAGCTCCTTCTATCTTGGCCAGGTGGCAATGGGATGAATGAAGTCACTTGTTGACATATGAAATCCCGTAAGTATTGGGGGGTTCTTTTGGTTCTGGTGGATTTTCTTGGCGAAGGAGGATTCCCAGGTTCAACATCTGCAGTTTGTAAGTTAGATTGTTCTATGATTTGTTCAGCTTGGGTTTGAATTGTGTCAAAATTCTCATTGTGACCTATAGCTAGGAGTAGAGATAAGCTGATTCTTTGGCTCTTCAGGTTCTAGAAATGTGTGATCGTTTGGACTAGGATTTGGTGAATTTTGATAAGAGCAAGAATCAGTGGGATATCTATTGAACTCTGCAGCTTTGGCTTCTTTAAAAGGGAAAATAGTTTCTTGGAAGACAACATTTTTGGAAACAAAGATCTTATTAGTTTGTAAATCAATGAGCCACACCTTCTAGCCCTAGAGTCAAATTTGTGCCTGGTTTGAGTGAGTGTAGTGGCAAAGGCAAGGAAGCCAAATACCTTTAGGTAAGAGTATGCTGGCTCCTTTTGAAATAGAATCTCAAATGAGCTTTTATGATTCAAAACAGGTGAAGGCGTTCTGTTGATAAGTTAAACTACAGTCATGACACATTCAATCCAATATTTTAATGGTATTCCACTTTGAAATCTTAGGGCTCTTGCAATGTTTAAAATGTGTTGGTGCTTCCTCTCGACTATAGCATTTTGTTGAAGAGTTTCAACACATGATTTTTGATGTATGATTCCCTTTTCGAAATAAAATTCACTCATGTTAAATTCCCCTCCATTATCAGATCGAATGACCTTTATTTTGGCTTTGAATTGAGTTTCTATCATGAGGTAGAAGGCCTGTAAGGCCTTTGATGCTTCAGATTTAAGTTTTAGCATATATACCTAAGTACATCTACTGAAATCATCAACTATTGTGAGAAAATAATGAGTCCCATCATAGCTTATTTCATTGCAAGGCCCCCAAAGATCGACGTGTATTAAATCAAAACATGCTTCTGATTTGTGTTGACTTATAGGAAAGGGGAGTTTGTGCATTTTGGCGAAGGGACAAACATGACATGGTATTGACCTATCCAATTTGGAAACGTTTTTGGGAAAAATAGAAGATGATAGATGTCCTAATCAGTAGTGCCAGACATCAAAAAGTACTGAAGAGTTGGTAACACGTGCTGCAATATGTGGATAATGTAATTGGTTTAGATTTTGCTGAAGTGCTATAGAAGGAACTGATGTCTTCACTAAATGGTAAAGGCCTAACTTCAATCACCCATTCTAGTTGTGGTCCAAGTCAAAAGGTCCTTTATATAGCAATGGTTAGAGAGGAAAATGACACAACAATGTGATTCCAAGGTCAACTTTCTAACAGATATTAAATTGAAATCAAAAGAGGGGACACATAATACATCATGAAGAGTTAAAGTGTTTGTGATTTGGGTTATCCCAATTTGTGTAACAGGGATAGTGCTCCCATTTGGCAGAGAAATAAAGAAATTAGTTTGTGATTTAATAGATGTAAAATGAGATGGTGAACAGATTATATGATTTGTTGCACCAGTATCCAGAATCCAAGGAGTTTTGTCAAAACATTTAGTTGTAATGGATGACAAGCAATATGATGTACCACAGATTTTTGGAATGATACTCTCAGAGTTTGATTATGTGTTTTGAGCCAGGTTTGTTGGTTGTTTCAGAATAGCCATGTGTTGGAAATATTGCTCTTGAGTCATTGGCACCTGACCCTTGTTGTTCTGTTCCTGACTTGGAGACATAACAGCAGAGACCTGATTTACTGCTAGTTTGTATCTGTTCTTCCCATCATTATGAGAGCTGAAGGGTATCCATGAATTTTAAAACACTTATCAGCATTCTGTCCTGGCATTTGACAGTGTGAACGTATGGGCCTATTTGGGTTGGCCTTAAAGCATCTTTCAAGGAAGTGTCCTGCAATCTTACAGAATGTGCAATAACAGTCCTTTTTTTTTTTTTTTTGAAATGAGGATCCTTGCTTACCACTCTCTCTCCCGTTTCCTTTGGCCACGAAGGACAGGTGCTCATTCATAGATCCCTCAGCTGATATTTGCCTCCTTTTCTCTTCCTGTTGGATAGTGGCATAGACTTCATTCAAAGTGGGAAAGGGTTTCATCAGTAAAATCTGTGCCTTAACGTCTTTGCATGATTCATTTAATCCCATTAGGAATTTCGTCACCCAATCTCGCTGTTGGTTGTCAACTACCATCTTCAGAGCTCCACAAGTACAATTGGGGATATTTTCATAATTCAGAAGTTCATCCATGAGAGTTTTAAATTTGGAAAAATTAAGTACTCACATCATTTTAGCTTTGAACTAGAACCATGATGGCCTGCTTAACTTCATAGACTCTAGGGGCATTCTGTTGTGGAAAACGTTGTTCAAGTTCCAACCACAACTGATGTGCAGTTTCAGCATACACAGTGCTGCATTTGATGTCTATTGCCATGGTGTTTTGGAGCCAAGTAATGACAATATCATTGCATCTTAGCCAATGCTCCATTAAGGGATCATTCTGATTAGTTGGTTCACAGATTGTACCATCTATGAACCCTAACTTATTCTTGATTATGAGGGCTTGTTTTATGGATTTAGCCCAGGAGTGGTAATTGTTTGCTTCGAGTGTTTGAGTAATCAATGTACCCCCATTCCCATCATTGCTTCCAATGAAATAGGGGCTGTATGGATGTGTAGGTTAGAGAATTTTGAAATCAAACCCATTCTCAGAATTTGTTTTTGGGTTTTGATTTGCACTAGCATTTGATAAATCACTTCGGACTTCAACATTTTGCTCAGCCATTATTTTGGCTTTGATACCATATAAGGAAATGGAATAAAATTGAATATAGAAATACTGAGATGAAGCGCTGAAAAACCAGAATAAAATTTGATTGTAAATCTTTTAATTGATTTTTCCATTATGAACGAGTATACAGCCATATATATACACTTACAGAATTTGTGCAAAGGGAATAATTACAAAGAATCAAATTTGGTTACAAAATAACAAACTCCATGTGGTGAAGTCTTTTAGATCATTTCTCCTTCTAGATCATTCCTCACGAGCTGGACCCTCAATGCTTCATGTGGCTGCTTGATTACCTGACTGTGATGCCACCTCATTAGTCAGCTGAGGATCTGCCATGTGATCAACTTGCTTGTTACAAGCCAACACCCCCGCGCAAGATGGAGGGTAGATATCAATTACTCCCATCTTGATCATATGAGAGTAGTTATCGAGAGTTTAATGAGAATTATGATAGATTATGTTCACTAAAAATAAAATACAGAAGCTTCTAATAGCAACGAACACATATCGATCAATAAAACAAAATTACCTCGAGATATATATACCATTGGTGCTATCCAACTAAGTAATACACAAATGTATCTTTGAACTTTTAATTTTATTTTTTTTCAATTTTTTGTAAAATTTTCAGATTATTTAAATATCTCAAAGCAATAAACGCATACGAAATTAACAAGAAGCCGACTCACAAGTCAACTAACTCCCAAACTGATAGATAGTACATTGTCTTAATCTAAGCACAAAAATAAGATAAAGATTCAGCACAAGTCAGCTTCTTGTGATTTTCGTATGCCTTTATTGCTTTGAAATATCTAAACAATTTGAAACTTTCCAAAAAATTGAAAATAAATAAGTAGAAGTTCGAAGATACATTTGTGTATTACTTAGTTGGATGGCACCGATAGTATATATCTCTAGGTAATTTCATCTTACTAATCGGCATGTGTTCATTGCTGTTAGAAACTTCTGTGTTTTATTTTTGGGGAAAATCATCTATCATAATTCTCATTAATTTCTTGATAACTTCTACCGTATGAAATATTTGTTCAACAAAATTAAATAGGTTATTAAATATGAATAAAAAAGTATTCAAGTGAGGTTGTGAGGTACTAAATTGCAATCCTGAAGGGGTAGAACACCTGGACTAAAATTTGCAACGATGGGTTCCATTAAGTGTAACTTGAACATCAGTTTTCAGAAATAGTTGCCTTTGTAATATTAATTTTTGATTAAGTAAAATTCATTGTCCGTTCGACCATGAGTTTTATCTTTTGCAACGATGTAACTATTTGCACACGATTTTTTCACTAACAACCATTGTCTTGAGTGTTATCTTTTGAGGATTTTCTTACAGTGTTGTTTGCTAAAATTGTACATCAAACAAGCACTATATTTACCAATTCAACAATTTATTTTCAATCATGCCCTCATCATTACTCTAAATTCCAATCTGAAGAAAGGCATTAGCCAACATCTTTCCTAGTTGGACTTGGGCTGAAGTGGTAAGGTGCACTGTATCATTTTTCCTCACCTCCAGTCCCTTAGCATCGACGCATACTACATTTGGAAGTTTGATCTCTAGTTGGGCCTTTCTTACAACCTCAAAATAGTCTCCCGCTACTGAAGCCAATGCCACCTGCAACCAAGTATCATATAATTATATGTGTCATTTGATATAAAAAATTGCATGTAACGACAAGAAACAATTAATTGACATATATATGAGAATCACTTGAAAATGAAAACAAACACGCGTCATCTTAACAAAACTTCAAAACATAAAGAGCTTTAATTGCCCACGAAACATTAAACATAAATACAGTAAAACTAATTAGCAACTAGTTTCAACACATTTTTAGATGAAAACTCATTAATGACGTACTGAAAACCCTATTTTTAGAAAAAAAATAAAAATTACCAGAACGTTTTCAGAAATGAAAGCAAAAAATCAGACCAACAGCAAATGTTGATGAATGGAATTAAAATGCAGAACCCATTTGTGCAAAGAGAATGAGCAGGCAAAAAATTCTTAAAAAATCAATTTGAACCAAAATTAAAACCCCATTTGATTGATTAAAACAATGACCAAGAAGAAAAACTACAACAGATCTAAAGAATTTTAGTTCACCTTACACATCCAATCAACAGCCACTGTTACTATCCTTGGCAGAGATGAATTATGATTTTTCTGTTCCATTCACTTTTCGGGTGACTAAACATTGTTTGTGGTCTTTTCACTTACTCCTAAAAGTGTTTTTGTTCAAGGATGCATTTGGCTTAAAGCTTTACAGAAAATTTGTAAAGTAACCATACCTGAATAATTGGGAGTCCGGGGAAAGCTAAATCTCCCCGGACGTCAAGGAAAAATTGTATCAACCTCATCTTATACATTCTAGCACTGATTTCATCGACAGAATCACTTTCACCTTGATACCATAGCATAGCCTGAATTTTACCTCCATCTTTGAGTGCCGCATTAGCCCTCTTCAAGAGTTGATTATAAAGATAGGATCCCTGTTTCCACTCCGTTATACTGGTATTACCAATAGCACAAGGGACCAAACCGATCACCCCGGCGCAAGGATCTCTTTCGAGCACTTCATTAGCGAATGACATTCCCGGTCCCACCCCACAAGGTTTTCGTGTGTCGATGTCTCCATGAAGAGGTTCGTGTGCCTCCTCCCACATCAATTTAGGGTTAAGTCGTAGAATCCTTGGCTCAGGACGGCATTCAGGAGGGACATAACCATCCCATGTCCCATGCACCACACCACCTCGACCAGCCATGTTGCTCTGGCCGGCAAGTATGAATATAGACTTGTCAACACATCCATATACTAAAATTTCAGATTGGAACTGGAAGGGAGTCAAGAACATGAAAATGATTAAAGGAAACATCCTGAAGGTTTTTCTCCCTCACAAATTGAAAATTCGATGTTGTAATACTACTACTCTCTCTCCCTCTATATATATGTGTGTGAGGGGTGGGGGTGGGAGTGGTGTTGCTGGTAATTTGGTATGAAAATGACTAATAATTATTGTCATGAAATGTCTTGAGAACCTTGGAGTAAGTTTAGCTAACATAATATTGAACAATAATCGTAAGTCATAGGACGTACTCAAACCACAGCAATTAGGTACAAGAACATTTTTACATGTTAAAAAGTAAAAAGTTAAGGCGATTATTTGAGGTTATTGAATAATTAACCATGTAATTATGAAAATCTGTATGTTTTTGACATATTTGCATTTGTATGTGTACAAAAAACTTCGTGATCATATGCATGCACTTTATTAATAAAGTATTTGTAGATGATCTCATAAAGAAGCGTGACAATAATTATTGACCCTATGAATGTGACATATTGTATGCTAATTCAACAATAATCAGATTGATTATCACAAAACATCTGAGAGGGTTGTAACGAAGAAAATCCCATATCCTTCAGCAAAGAGCGAAGCTAAATAATTTCACTGGTAGTAGATTACCCGATATTCAGCTTCAGTACTAGAGTGTACAACAACATTCTACTTCTTACTCCTCCATGTCACCAAATTTCCCCAAATAAAAGTGCAATATCCAGTGGTAAATCTTCTATCAACAACACTACCAGCCCAATATGCATCTGTATAAGCAGAAATAAGAGAATGACCATGTTTACACATCCATATACCTCTTTCAGGCTACCCCTTGAGATAGTACAAAATTCGATTAGTGGCATCCATATGTGCAACTCGTGGAGAATGCATAAAGCGGCTAACAAGGCTGACGGCATATGAGATATCAGGTCGAGTAATTGTGAGGTAAATTAGTTTGTCCACCAATCTTTGGAATTGACCCACATCAGATAATAGATCGCCATCAAATGTTAATTTGGAATTACACTCTATAGGCGTTTGAGCTGGCTTAGAACCAAATTTTCCAGTGTTTTTTAACAAATCTAATATAGATCACGTTATCAAATAACTTAATAATCAAGTTTTAAAAAATCTTACGGAAGCAAGAAATTTCCAAATAACTTAATATATATATGGAAATTTCTTGTTTCGGTAAGATGCTTTAAAACTTGATTAATAAGTTTTTTGGTAACATGATCTATATGTAGTTTTCAAAGAATATATGCAGCCTTAAGAAATATGTTTCACCAACATTGCTAATGAATAGCATTATTCATTTTTTATAAGATTGTAGGTGATATGTTACATCGTCACTTGTACAATATATGGACTCATGATCAACACCCTGATTGTGAATACAAAAGAATTCTTCAACTTGGCTAATATATTTATTTATATGGCATCCTTCCGATAATTGACACTACGTCCAACTATGAAGAAGTTAGTGCCATACATAGTCCAAATAATATGTGACACTATATTAACTATCCTCCTCATTGTAGGGGTGTCAAAGAAAAGAGTCGCCCAGACCAATAAAATTGGCTAGGGTCATCCTGGGCCAATGGTGGGCGTTGCCTAGGGACAGCCTGCCTAGTAGCCCAGGCCCTGAAGTCTTACAACGTTTGCTCATCTTTTTAACGTTTCTAACCAACAATTGTATCATATTCCAACAGTTTCTTTTGTCTCTGAAATTTATGGTTTTGTTATACCAGTCATTACTATAGAGACATTTATCAAAAATTACAAAGCCCTAGTCTTGGTTGAAGGGTGTGGAGGATTACCATAAGGGGATGGTGATAGCCATGATTAGGGCTAATGTTGAGGAGAACCGAGAGGCCACAATAGCAATTTCTAAATGGTTTAAATAGGGATAAATAATATGCACTAAGCTGGATATGAGAAGAAAAAAGGAAAAACGAGGAAAGAAAATGGAGAGAAATAGAAAGTCCACATAAAATTTTTGGGTCGTGTGAGGTTGACAAAAATGACAATCAGTAAGTACACCCTAAAAATACGTGTCAAAAATTTCTCTACTAAATAAAATAATGACACCGAATGTCAATCGTCTGTCCCCATGTGATAGTAGGAATTAAATGGGCGAATAATTAGAGCCCAAAATTTATTTCGGTTTCTTTTTTTCATGTAAAAATTGTCTTAGTTATTCTTTATACTTGCAGAAGTTTCAATAAACAATGTATTAGGAGTCCTTTTCCATTTTTAACACTGCATACATGTTTTCAACCAAAACTAATTGTATAATTAGATTTTAGTTGAGTCACTATATATTTTACGTGACATCTTTATACTCGTGGATCCATTCTCGAAAATAAAAAGATTAATATCAACATCAAAAAACGTATTTATGCACAAAATACGAACTCTGTCGAATCATAATCTTTTCATAAATCACTAGGTGATGGTGCATCGTGCACATAGGAAGAAAAGGCACCATTCAAGGGGTGAGAGAGATGTCAAATTCCAATAATAATATCTAATTATTGAGCAGTTCATTCCCATTAAAAGTGTTTCTAATCAAAGCTCTCTAAGGAGTAGCCACTCTAAGGGTCTCATCTCAAACTAGTCCCTATCTAGAAAAAGCAAGAGTTTGAATAAAAATAATAATTGAAACTTTTGTCCAGCAACTCACATAAATTCATTGTTGTCACATATGGATTCTAACAATCTGTCGCTGCTTTCATCTAGGTACCAATCGTTGAAGAAGTTTAATAATGCATTCTAGTACGAATAAGTTTAACATTCATAGAACTCTAATACTATCAATAACTTGTCTTAAATAAGTTCCCGTATTTGTCTTCAATCAGTTGAGGTGATTCTATGAAGAGGTATCCTATGAATGTGATATATTGTATGCTAATTGCTCATCATTGGTGTATAGAGCTCTTGAAAGCTTAACAAAAATGACAATCGGTAAGCAGACCCTAAAAATACATATCAAATTTTTCTCTACTAAATAAAATAATAACCCCCGAATGCTTCGTAGGAATGAAATGGGCTTTTTTTTTCATATAAAAATTGTCTTAGTTACTCTTTATACTTGCAGAAGTTTCAATAAAAAATGCATTAGGAGTCCTTTTCCATTTTTAACACTGCATACATGTTTTCAACCAAAACTAATTGTATAATTAGATTTTAGTTGAGTCACTATATATTTTATACTCGTGGATCCATTCTCGAAAATAAAAAGATTAATATCAACATCAAAAAATTTATTTATGCACAAAATAAGAACTCTGTCAAATCATAGTCTTTTCATAAATCACTAGGTGATGGTGCAATCTGCACATAAGAAGAAAATGCACCAATCAAGTGGTGAGAGAGATGTCAAATTCCAATAATAATATCTAATTATTGAGTAGTTCATTCCCATTAAAGATGTTTCTAATCAAAGCCACTGTAAGGGTTTCATCTCAAGCTAGTCCCTATCTAGAAAAAGCTAGAGCTTGGATTAAAAAAATTATTGCAAGATAAGATATCATAAAAGACATAATTAACTAGTGAGTCTCGAATATATATTTTATGATTATTTAATTTAACAATTTTTAATATTCTTACTTTGTTTATCATTGAGACTTTTGTCCGGCAACTTACATAAATTCATTGTTATCACATGTGGATTCTAAAAATCTGTCACTACTCTCCTAAGAATGTACTGCGCATCTTTCATTGTTGTCACATGTAGTACCAATCATTGAAGAAGTATAATAATGCATCCTATAGGAATAAGTTTAACATTCATAGAACTAATAATTTAATTAACTAATAAGGAAATGCAATGGAAAAGTCATAAATTATTTACTATCATTTAACTTTTTTGTTAAGCTTTCAAGAGCTCTATACACTAATGATGAGTCATTATTGTTGAATTAGCATACAATATATCACATTCATAGGGTCAATAGTTATTGTCATGCTTCTTTTTGAGACCATCTATAAATGAATTTAACGTTGTCAATCATTTTGCATAATTGTAACTAATTATTGATAAGTTACTGCTATCTTCCGATGACATTTATGATACTATTTCATATAAATTAATTAATGTCGCTTATATAAAGAAAATCAACTTTGACTTTAAGAGAATCTATTTATTATTCTTGACTTGATTGCAATCAAGAATCCAGGGGTCTCATGTCAAGCAATAGAGTCAAACTCAACCCATTTTCCAAACACAATGGTTTGATCGGGCTAGGCAAACAATAGAAAATTACTATTGTAATTCTTTCATTCGTGTTATTTCTGAAGAAAAAAGTGACAAATCCTGATTATAGCTAAATTTAGCATTTACTATAAGGATAGTGGTGTTCGATTATGCGAAAATATATGGATCCCATAACATGCATATACATATATTGTAAAGATAATATCAATTTCCTAATGTTAATGACTCTTTTTTTTATTCAAATAAATTATTGGTTGAATTATGGCCATCGAAGAATAAATTTATGTTTAATAATAAAAAAAAAAGGTGAATTGAAGATAGAAACGCAATCAATTATCTTCTTTCTAATATTTTAAACCATCAAATAACGAATGCTTCTAATAATAGTACAGATTATTTACTGTGCTTTCTTTTTCCAAATAAATTTTTGCGCTTTACATTTTTTCAAGTAAAAATTGAAATTAAGTCCATGTTTGTGAACAATGTTCAATGAAAATGAGTTTTGAAATAACGAATTTTTAGAGAATAAAATGAGTTTTGAAATAACGAATTTTTAGAGAATTTGTGGTTAGTAAATAGGAAAAATTTTTGAATTTACGTTTAAAATATTTTAATGTGAAAATGTGTGATTGAAAATGAGTTTTAAAAAAAAGGAATTTTGAAATAATGGTTAATCAATGTCACATAAATGTTGCGGTAGTTTTTTTATTGTCTTATGTATCAAATTATTAATTATCACATGTATACTACATAAGACAACTATGATAGAGAGATTGCAAATTGCAATATTCAAATCATTATGTTATTGAAATACTGTTTT